TCGGGGCTGGAAGCGGGGGAGACGGTGTGTGAGGCCGTGCCTGTTTCCGGGGGGTCCCGAGTGGCGGATTGCAGCAGGGCTTTCTGCCCCCTTCCCCTCCCCCCGGCGCACGTGCGGCCGAAGGTGCGCTTCAAACGCACTTGCCCTTTATCGCCGGCTCTCCAAAGCCGTCTGCTTGTTTTGCAGTTCGTAGTTACAAGCAGCACAGTCAGTCTTCCCTCCAGCAGCCAGAATTAGCTCCTCTTTTGCAGGGAGGTTGGTGGTATATCGGCGTAAAAAGTTACCATCTCCCAAGCTGATAAAGCACTGGCTGCGCACCCTCCCTCTGGACAGGGCTTACCCGTGCTGTACTGTTCCAAGAGAACATACCTTGGAAATGAAGCTGTTTTTAACAAATTAGCGTCTCAATTTGCTGAAAGTTGAGTAACAAAGTCAATAAAACAGCCATTTGTTTCTATAGAAACTAACACCTTGGCTGGGATTGTACCAAGCTTTGATTTTTTTTTTTTTTGACTGGAATTTGCTGCTTTTGCAGCCTGCTCTCGCTTATTTTTCAGGAAATCGGGAATTTAGAAAACCAGCTTGGAATTTTTTAGCATGTGAGGAATGCTGGCAATCACATGATAATGGTACAAAAAAAAAATCTGGAACCTAGTTCAGTGAGTTATAATTCATTTCTGAGGCTGTGTAATCGTAAACCCTAGAAATATCAGTTTGTTCCTCCACTATCAAATCTAAGGAATTTTGCAACTTGCCATCTTCCATGCCCCTTTTTTCCCTGGCTCTTTCTCCAGTACAGCCAAAAGGAGCTAATCCAAGAATTGGCTGACATAGCTGCTTGCAGCCCAAAGATCTGGGGGGGTTGTGAAGTTTTTTTTCAATACAACTATCATTAACATGAGGAAATGTGGTAAACAAATAGAAGAAATATTCAGTTGATGTGTTCCAGGTTTCTTATTCCCAGACACTGTTTCCCCATATGTTCCGATCTCAAGTGACAGTGATATTCAAATGGATTCAAGAATACAAATAAGTAATTTAGCTTATCCTGTAAGGAAAATCCGAACAGGTTTCTGGAAATACACAAGGCATGGAATAGGACTCATTCTGTTTGGTAGTGAGACGGTGCAGCAGCTGTGCTTTTAAAAATGAGTAGATCTATGATTTACCTTTTTTTCCCCCTGTTAGGACAGAGCTAAGAGGTTTTGGATTATTTAGTTCTGCATTTGATTGTACCAAAGTTTGTTAATTTTGCTCTGCTTTTCCTTTTTTTTTAAATGTCAGTCTTTATGCTTTTCCTGAAAACATTTATGTTGTGTATTGCAGTGGGAGATTCTTCTAAGGTGTCTTGACCTCAATCATTTTACCAGAATCACTTGTGTATTTTGATAATCACCTGAAAAACCTTGCATCTCAATTTGATTATTTTTTTCCAGACAAAAATTGAATATTTGTCTTTGACAGTCATTCCTCTTTTCCACTGAACTGTAGGAAGGTAGGCCACGTGAACTCCTGCAGTAGGTCTTTTTGCATCCTTGGGAACGCTTTCAAGAATTTTTGGTAGTGTTTGGGAAGTTCCAGATATTTGTTTGCTCTCAGGATCAAGATCCAGTTCTCCAAAGCGTTTACATTTCCGAATAACATGATTTGTTCAGTGGAGTTCTCTTAGGGGCTAGGCATAAGGAAGAGATTTCCATTACTCTCTTCCTTCTACCCTTCACACGCAAGCTTTAAAAGTTAATGTGTTATGAAAACCTATTAGATAAAAGACGGGAAAAGAGCTGGAAAAGCCCAAAGGGGGCACACGCCTGTTGGAGCTCAGCAGTCTGCTGCTGGCATTTCCAAGTAATCCTTTTTTGTAGCTTTATTTACATTATGACTGAACCCCCATTTTAGCCATTGCCTATGGCTGTGCCAATGCAAACACTCAGCATAAGCAAAAACGAAAAAAAAGAATTAAAATTTATTCCATTGGAACTTACGCGTGGAGCCAGAATAAACTTAAGTAGTACAAATGTCAGCTTTTGTTCACACTAAGAGTTTATACTTCTGTCTAAAATGGCAACTAATCCTAAGTGTAGAGGAGAGGACACAAAACCAAGTGTTCAGCTGACAATGTCGTTATTCTGACAGGGGTTTGTAACGGTGGAAGTTCCAGCGCGCTGTCAGAAGCACCCATACTTCTCTAACGATGCAAGGCTGCGTCTTACTGGCTGACTTCTGGAGTACCAGTAAGTGATAGTGCATTGAATACCTGTCTTGTCCACTGATGCATTTCTTAGACGATAATCACACAGGTAACAGAGTTTGATGGTCCTTTAATTACCTGAAATGACTCCAAATAGAATTGCTTTCCAATAGTAGAACCGCTCATTCTTACAACTTCTGTTTTTTAAGAACTTCAAAATAAAAGACTTTTCAAGTCCTCTGGATTGTCTAAGTCTGTTGGATGACAACATCCAATACTGAAATGGCATTTAAAAATTCATATTTACCAAGTCATGAAAAAAATCAAGAACCAAACTAGATTTTCTTTCTTTACAAAGTGTATCGTTAAGACAGGACTTCTGTCTTGGCCTAAGAAATTTAGTTCCCTGTGTTGCACAACTCCTTGGTGTATAGATGGTGCTATTTTCAGGCCTACTGATAAAGCAGCAGCTTCCTTATGAAGGTGCAGCTATAAATACAACACCCAACCAGCAGAACAAGTTCCTTGCTGGTATACTTGTCTATGCGAGAGTTTTTGCCAGCTTGGAAATACCATATAAAGTAATTTCTGTGGGATCATTGCTGTCGTGTCTGAAATTGAGTTTTGATGAGAGTTGGCATTTCCTGAAGCCCTGAAGACTGGTAGAAGTGCATGGGTTGGAAGGGACCTCTGGAGGCCATCTCATCCAGCCTCCTGCTCCACAAATGTCCAGTTTCAGTAGATCAGGAACTTTCCCATCGGAAACAGCTTCTGAATAATGTGCATTGGGACAGACTTATTCCCGACCGCTCACTAAACTCACTTGGCAGCTGCAGGCCTGGTGGCTTGCACAGAAGTCTGTCAGTCCTGAAGGGAAGGGACCTGCTAGAGGTGGGAGGATTAGGGTAGGAGGACTGCAAGGGACTTTGCTCTGTAAACAATGCAAGCAGATGCTGGCAGGTGTATCACAGGCAGCGGTGCCTGCGGCTGATGGGGCGTGCTAAAGTCAGGGAGCAGGCCCTGAGCAGAAGTAAAGGCTTCAGGCAGCTAAGGAGAGCCCCAGTATGTGCTTTCCAGACTGTTAACTCCAGATGTCAACAGAGATGACATCAGGCTGGCAGCATAAGTTTGTATTTTGCTGTGGAAGAAATGAGGCCAGCATTCCTGGAAATGTCAACAAGAATGCTGTGCAGAAAACTGCAGCTTCTAGATTATTCCCATGGCTGAGCAGAAGTTGCTATAGTGAGCAACAAAGTACGTTGCAAAGAAAGAAATTTTGTTTCCAGCGCCTTGTGCCGCAACCTGAAAGCCCTTGCTGCCTCCTGCTCTCCCTCTGTCTAGGTATAGTGTAAGAGTAGTTTGGGGCTGGGAACATCAGGCTTTTAAACCACATCCGTGTGTTTTGCAACACAAGTACCTGCATAGTTTGCAAGTTAACACTAGAAATCAGACCATTCCAGTTCAGGAGGACTGTGCTGCCAGCCATTTGCTTTCTGCTGTCCTGGGCTACGTTTTGTCATGCTCATGTCCCAGGTTATCATAGCCTGGTTTTTTTTATACATTGCTTGTTTATGACAGCTGAAACCTCATCTTGATGCAAGGTATTAAGTGTGTATAATCTCTTATTTTCTAACTTGTACCTGGCTGTCAAGTGAAGAGGTCGCTGTAATAGAAAAATCATTTGTCTTGTGCACAAAATGATGCTGGTCTTTAAGAAGTGTTTAAGACCACAAAAGAGCAGGTAGCTTAGTAAGGTTCAGAGCAGATGAAAACTTGTTTCCATGGATTTTTTCTTACAGTGGGTTCTTTGGTGACTAATAGTGCACACACTGTTTCTCTCTGCCCTGTGGATTCTCCAGTGACTAAAAAAGGTTGAGCTCTGCTGTGGTCTTTCCCTTAGCTGCAGTACTAATCAGTTCTCCTGCCCCCTCTCTGATGCTTGGGTCAATTAAGCTAACAGAGACCTCTGAGACCAGAACCTCATGTCAAAATTTGGCTGAAAGAGACTCAGATGTTCAGAAGTTAATATGGTGAGCTAGACGCTTTGACACACAGCCGGCTGATATAACGCTTGCTACCACACACAGACTGAAATATATCTGTTTAAAATCGGGCAATACTGCAGGTACCTGATCTCCCTTCCCCTTTCTTGCCTGAGCTGCTCGGCATTTCCTCTCCACGGCTCTGCAGTGAAGGACTCCTGGGCTAGAATTAGGATTCTGCATCTGTTTCTCCTTTCTTTAGTATACAGTCAGGGTTACTTTCTTCTCTTCAGGGGAGTTGGCATGGTATGTCTGGGATCAAGGTGAGGTCTCTGCCAAGTACACAGTGGAGTTTGTAGATCCACCAGTATCTGGGCAGACTGAGATTTTGTTTTGGCAGATCCTTCACTTGACGTTGCTCCTCACCCTTGTTGTAGCCCCTTACTTGCATCCTTCTGTTCTGGCTCCCACAGAGACATTTCTGAACACCTCTTCCTTCTGACTAGGCATCCAGGACATCTCTTCTTGTCCAGGCCTAACCACAAAGTTTATGTGATGGCTTTTTTATGTGTAGACCAGACCTGTCCTCTGACAAATGCAGCTGAACATGACAAGAGGAGCTCACCAGGCACGCAGGAGCTGAACGTCCTGGGAACAGAGGCTGTGGGCAGCCACCTTGTGCGACCGTCCCTGGAAGGCGATGTGGGCAGAGCTCACGTGCACGGTGTACGTCGTGAGTCTATCTCAGAGGCTTTGTGTTGGCTCTGTCATCTGGGCAGGTATTCCTGTGCAGGCAGCTGAAAAGCAGAGTTGTGCTCATTCACATCAGAGCAGCTTCCTGTAAGTTCCTGATAAGGAAAGACAGAATTTGTTTGAACTTTGGCAACCTAAAAGGTGGGCATGTGTCCCTAGCAGGTTTTCTGGGTTCCCTGTGGAATTGCCTTCTCCTGCTTATCTGTCCGCATGTTGCCAAAGGAGTCTGGATGATTAACTGGGACAAAAAAGGGTTTTTGTTTCCCTGTTAGTTCCATTTTATTGGTTTAGTTACTCTTACCTTAACCATATTTACCTTCAAAAGTGGCAGTTCTGAAAAAAAATCGCCTTTATAAATTGTGAGGGTGAACTGCGTTCACAGCAATAGTTCTGTATAGCCTTGATTCATGTACTACCTTCCGAAATCATCGCAGAGGAAATTTGTTTCTGTCAGGGAAAGGAGTGGAGACCTTCCAGGGCAAAAACAAGTGAATTATTCCCTGGACTCCAGTGGGGCCAGGATTTAACTTTCTGTGTAGTAGCCTCCTTTTTAGGCACTGCTCCTCTGCCATCAAATAGCCACCTGTCATGGACGGCTATTTATAATATAGAAAGAAATAGTAGGTAGTTCTTGCATTTGGTTTTAATTCCACTTGAAAAATTATTAAAATTCAAAAAATTCAAGAGGAGTCAACTGTAGCATAAAGTAGCGGGTGCTGAGTGCCCAAGCATCCGCGGTGCTGCAGTTTGAGGAGATTTGTGTTGGCCAGCTCTAGGTGTGCCTCATGGACTGAACAACCACAGCTTCCCCAGAGATTGTGCTGCACTTGGGGAGCGCAGGTTTCTATTTGGTTTCACCCCAAAGGAGGCCAGGTTGCGTGCTCTCAGGCTGCTCCGCAACATGAACCGGAGGGTGGTGAGAGGGATACAAGTTTTGAGTCCAAACTGCTGATTTGAACGATAACACAGGCACACCTAGAGAAAACTGAGCTGCTCGTGAAACAGCTCCGAAGCAGCTTCCGTTTACAGCTGGCATTTTAACCAAACCAGAGGCTGTTCAGGAGAAATTTGAGAAGCGATAAACAGTGGCTGTTCAGGAGAAATTTGGCCTGTGCAGAATGAGCGTACACAGTGGCTGCAAATTCACCATCCCTTCTGAAATACCTCTTCCATGTTTCAGCAGCCAGAGGCTCCCGTCACGGGCATGCAGGCACAGTTTCAAACAAAGCTCTCCAGGAGGGAAAACATTCTCATGTCTTGGACCACCCCATTCCCTTTAAATGATGGGCTTTGCTTTCGGGAAAGATCTCGCCATTCTGCTAAAAATCTTGTGAGCTTTTTTCTTCTTTGTTTTTGCCCCCTTAAATCACTCAGGACATTTGCATAGAACAGGATGGCTGTTTTTTAACTGTTCCTCCATGTCCCTTTAGCGTATTCCCAAGCTGAGAACATAAGTGCAGTGGGTCATCGCAACCAGTCACAGAAGTGATTAAATGTCAAAAAAAAAAAGATGTTGACCTCATGTGAAGAGAGGCAGCTCTAACAGACGGGAGTCCCATGAAATAAAGTTTTAGGATTTTTATGGTGATGGAGCTTCGGTGCTGAAAGGGAGGAAAAAAAAGTGCAGTGGGGGCAGTGGTCAATAGGAGATGCGGTACATGGAGACCTGTGTTGGGAACTGCTTCGGTAGTTAACACTTAGCTTTAGTGAAACTAATGGAGGAAAGAAAATATGAATAAATAGTCTGGAAGGTTTTTTTCCATTGCAGTGTAAGAGGAAAGGGACACAGTTAACTGATGGCTGAACATTTTATTGTGAGTAACAGCAATTACAACACTTGTCTGTTGTATGTGTCGGTGTGTGTATTTAGATAGATAGGTAGGTAGTTAACATGAAACTGCAGGCAGATTTGCAAATACAGAATTACTTGATACTAACTGAACATAGAGGTAGTTTCACTTGCAGTGAATGTTGCCTACTGCTATAAACCGAGGAGAACTGGGGTGTTTGTAAATTTATCAGACTTTAATTATTTGGGCTGAAATGTTTAATACTGCATATCTGCCTTTGTCTAATTTTTAACAGAAGTGTCAAGTAAAAGGTTTAGCTATTGCAAAAGGCAAAGATAGAAAAAGATGGCCCTAAATAATCTTTGAAACATTTTATTGAAAACTGTAATGCTTCAGACTCACTAGAGTCTGAAGGAGGGCAGTCAGTATATCATCACTTGCAGGAAACTTCAAAGTTCACCTGAATTTGGGTTATGAGCACTAGGCAAAAGAAAAACTGAGCTAAACATGCCAGATAGAAACTTGTTAGCATTTGACAGATCCGTTCACTCAGGATTATGTACCTACACTTGTCCTTTTCCCCGTACAGCTTGTACAAGCTACCTAGACCCAGCTAGATTTGCCTAAAGCTTTCCCTGACGCGGTGCCTTCCAGCTGGCAGGGGAGGAGGCGGCGAGCCCTCCTGCCCCTTGGCTGCTCCTCTGGGCAGAGTGCCTACTGGGCACACTGCCAGGGGGGAGCTGGCGTCAAGTGGGAAATGCCTTTTGGTGTTGCCTAGCTTTTGGGACTGCAAAGTCAAGAGCACAAGTGCATTGTTTTGGGATGTCCCATTTAGAAATGCTGTAAATTTTTAATGCAGAAATTACAGGTCTTTGCCTGAGGAATGTACAGAAGTTTATAGTACATAAGGCACTGGGGCGGGAGTTCAGATAGGCTTCAGTCATGACAGGTGAGTTTACTGTTAAATGAATGTCTTATCCATTTGGCTTCCTATTTCCTAGGATTTATTCTACTGCTCTGATAAACTATGATTTAAAACATGCTGAAGTGCCAGTTCAGGCTAATAGCCCCTTCTCCTACACTGCAACACATCACTGCAAGTAGAAGACACTGTGCTTTCTATCTCTCCCAAGATGAGGGAGAGAAGAGCTGAGAGGTAGGGGGCTCAGCCTGCAAAGACCGACTCACAGGCTGTCAGCTCAGAGTGGGAATCAGATCCAGACAATATCGCTGAATTTAGGTGTCTAAACTCCCACTGTAGTCAGTGGAGGCTTAGTTATGGCAGTCAATGGAGCCGGGAGCGTGATTCAGCTGACGAAACATAGGTATCCATCCTCTGGTGAGCTGAATCCCTCGGGACAGTGGGAGGTGGGACACTGAGCTCATACCCGTGTGTTGACACCTCTGGGCACACATCTACAGCCTGGAGGTAAGTCCATCCACGATAAGGACGTGCTGATGACAGGGATTCAGTCTCTAGCTGCTGACATTGTTTCTCCAGTTTAATGAGAGGGGCGGGCTAGACCCCCCTAGCAAAGGCTGGAGCTGCTGAGCCCTCTGGATGGTCTGAGCATGTAGGCCAGCTTCAGCCCCCTTGTGTGAGGTGGGTGAGCACGTTAGACCTTATTTAGGGTAGTCAAAATGGCACCGGGAAAGAACACCCAAGGCTCTGCAATAAAGAAACAACATCGCTCTGTTAAAATTATTTTTACAACCTCAATTGATGAGTTCAGACAAATAGACTTAACCGAGCCTTCTTAGTATATGAAACGTTAATATCTGCCACTTATTTTTGAAGCTATGTTTTAGATTTTATTTTTGAGACAAGAGAGTAATTTAAAATTATGCAAATGAGCTGCCAAACACAAGGCATTATGCAGATTTGTGGAGGCAGGCAGCAGAGTGTTAACCCTTGGTGCTGTGGCTCACTGTGGAGGGAGTGCCGTTAAAGCAGCTCTGCGTGAATTCCTTTTAGCCCTTGCACTCTTTAATTGCAATGCTCCTATGGCAGGGCCTGAGATGTGAGGCTAACCCTCCTGCACACACCCGATTACCAAGTGGGTTTAGGTTTATGGAGATGTATTTGCTGCGATGTTCACCTCGCAGTCCTGCCTGGCACAAACTGTACCCAAATCCAGCCTGGGTGTCTCAGGAAAGACAAGCATCGTGGCTGTCGTCTGCTGTTTCATACCAGTTGTTTCTAGAGTATTTGAAGTGACTGTCATGGGAGAAATATTAAATTGCTTTTAAAATGTCAGCAGTGCAGTAACACTTTAAAAACAATTGACACTGTCAGCTAGAAGTCCTCCTAGCTCACTGGGCTGGCTGGTGTACACAAGATGCAGTAGCAGCCTTGACTTTCTGGAGAGGAAAGCAATTAAAAGAGCTCCATGTTGTGCTAATTTGTAGGTTCAATAGCTCATTATCCCACCCAGCTATAAAGGTGGTGGGAATAACTCTCAGCCAGGAACAGATGGGTTTTGACAGAAATCCAAGGCCTGATCTGCTCTGGAAGTTTGCCCTGATCTCTGCAACCGATGCCAACAGCTGACATAGCCGCATTGGTGCAAACACTAGTGCTGAGCAAGAAATCCAGTGGTTTATAGCAGTGAAGTATGGCAAATGGCAGGAGCTGGCAAATCCCCAACATGCACAAGGGTGTAAGTGCAGCTAATACTCTGATGGACATACCTGATGCTGGGTTAAAATGGTCATGGTGGCAGCCAAGCCTGGGGAGAAAGGGAGAGAGTTCATGTAGGGTGGTTTTGGAAGGGCTGGGTTTGTGCCTCAGCCATGCCCAGGTGGGATGCCAAGCCCCATGAATGTGGGATTTGTTCAGTGTCAGGCAGGGATGGATCCTGCTGAGGGCAGGAACAAGTCTGGCTGCAGCACGGGGGGCACTTGATTCCACATTTCCTCTTGCACTTCAGTCACTCATGGCTCTCAGAGAGCTCACAGAGCAACGCAGGTGCCAAGGAAAACACCGAGACACTTGGCATTTGCTTTCCAGTTGCTAAATGGGGGGGAGTAATTTTTTCCCCTCTGCTATCTTTGAAGAAATATGTATTTGTGTTATGAACAACTTCAGTAACAAATAATGTCTCGGTGCTGCTCTAGGAGATGGGGATAAGCTGGGTTTCTCTCCTGCATCCCCTTACACCCGAGTTCTTTCAAGTTTGCTCCACTCACC